CTCTGATAATTAAAAGTTCCAGAGGCAGAAACTCATTAATCCCCAATTCTGTTCAATTGAGTACCTTATTAAGGGGAATGCTTCCATTTAAAACGTGAAAAACTTTCAGAGCAAAAAGATAATATAAATGTCTCTCCCGCCCCCCACGCCCCAAAAATTAGATTTGCTGCCTAAATAATTTGTTATTAAGTCGGAAAGATGATGAGGGGAAGATGTGATCACTTTGGCCCACCATTTAGCTAGCACCAAGAAACTGATGACTACTGGTCTCCCCTAAGACTCTGAAAACAGGCCACTGTTTGTCCAGGGTATGGGAGGAGGGGGAAGTGTGCCACCTAAAATAGTTTAACTAAGTCATCTGTAGCCAGAAGGTGAACAAGAACTCTAGGAAACTGTGGCTAAAAGCAGTGAAAGCCAATGTACATGGAGGGCATCTTTAATGGTCATGCAAATGAATGGACAAGAAATATGCCCAGCAGTGCTCAGGCCTGGATCACAACTGGGTGACCCAGGAAGGAATTCAAAGCGCCATTCCCAACGAACTAACAGCTGTGATAAGGGGTCCACTTGCCTTCTGCGAGGCAGTCCGCAGCTCCGCCAAGCTGGTGGCAAGGTTCTTGGCACACTGGCTCAGCTGCATGGCGGCAGCCTGGTCACTCACGGTGGGCACTGCGGCTTTGGCGGAGGACACCATCTTGCTCCCAGGCTGTAGAGAGAGGGGCAGAATGTAAGGCAGCTCCTGGAATGTAAGGGAGTTGACCCCAACGGCAAGGCCACCATATCAGCCAGAACTTACTTTCCCTAAATCAAGGAATATTAGAGCCACATACACTCCCCACACTGAAAATTCCCACCCCAAATCAGATACTCTAGGGCAGTATATTCTAGGAATGTAAAAAATAGAAATAAAAATGGATGTGTCATTGGGGAAAAGGTAAAATTTGGATAGTGACTTGAAATTCTCATTTAAAACAGATATCCAAGAGAGTTTCTTATTAAATATGATTCTGTGTTTCTTAAAAAAGCTCTTTAACTGAAATATATCCAAAGATTATTTTTTAAAAATATAGGCAGACACCCTGGTCAGTGTGACTCTGTGGTTGAGCGTTGACCCATGCACCAGGAAGTCACTGGTTCGATTCCCTGTCAGGGCATATGCCCAGTTTGGGGCTTGATCCCCAGTGGGGGGGAGGGTGTGTGTGTGCAGGAGGTAACCAATCAATGTTTCTCTCTCTCCCTTCCTTTCTCTCTCAAATCAATAAAAACACTTAAAAAAAAAAAAAACTTTAGTCACAAAAATCTTAAAATGTCTAAAAATAAAAGCAGACAAAAATGAAACAAATAAAAATGACCTATTGCATTTCTCACTACTCAAGATTATTTCATCATGCATGAAATTTCTGTGCTCATGTATATATATATTTTCAAGAGTAAGATCATACTATTTATTCTATTTCAAACGCCTAGTTTTACATGTATTCTATTTTTTTTTTTTTTATTAACCCTCACCTGAGGATATTTTTTCTATTGATTTATAGAGAGGGTGGAAGAGTGAAGTAAGGGGAAGGAGGGAGAGAAACACTGATATCAGAGACATCAATTGGCTGCCTCCTGCATGAACCCCGACCAGGGCCGGGGATTGAGCCTGTAACCCAGGTATGTGCCTTGACCGGGCATTGAACCCGTGACGCTCTAGTGTGCAGGCCAACGCTCTAATCCAGGCGTCTTCAAACTACGGCCCGCGGGCCACATGCGGCCCGCAGAGGAGTCTGATCCGGCCCGCCAGGTTTTTTGGGCAGTGAGCGCAGCCGAGGTGTTACAGTAGGAATTAGTAGTTCATATAGTCCGGCCCTCCAGCTCTCTGAGGGACCGTGATCTGGCCCCCACTTTAAAAAGTTCGAGGACGCCTGCTGAGTCTAATCACTAAGTAAGGCTGGCCAGGGACATATTCTACCTTTTAAATAGCTAACAGCGCTGAAATCAGTTTGGCTCAGTGAATAGAGCATCGGCCTGCCGACTGAAAGGCCCTGGGTTCGATTCTGGTCAAGGACATGTACCTTGGTTGCGGGCATATCCCCAGAAGGGGGTGTGCAAGAGGCAGCTGATCAACAATTCTCTCTCATCGATGTTTCTAACTCTCTATCCCTCTCTCTTCCTCTCTGTAAAAAATCAATAAAATACATTAAAAACAAAAACAAAAATAAATAGCTAATAGTATTACATTGTATATATATCTGTTAATACTTCTCAATCCTGTATTGTTGGGCATATTTTCATTTTTCCAATATAATAAACAATGGTATGATAAACACCTTGGTAGCTAACATTTTGTACATGGTCATCATTTTTTTGTATGAACTTTTGAAAGTAGAATTTCTGGAACAAAGAGTATACACACTTTTCAGGGTTTTAATACACAGGCTATACAGTGTCCTTAGTAAAGTTGTAACAAAGCTAATTGCCAAATCATAAATGTTAATATTCAAAAAACTCATGCCCTGGCTGGGTGGCTTAGTTAGTTGGAGCATCATCCCATAAACCAAACGATTGCAGGTGCGATTCCCAGTCAGGGCGCATACGTAGGTTTCCGGTTAGATCCCCAGTTAGGACATGTATGGGAGGCAACCGATCTAAGTTTCTGTTTCTGTCTGTCTCTCCCTTCTGCTCTCTAAAATCAATAAACATATCATTGGGTGAGGATTTTTAAAAAGTTACAAAACAAAAAAGAGCTGACGCTCTATCCACTGAGCCAAATGTACTCTTCAAAAAAGAATTTATGAGAATTTAAGGAAAACCAGCATGAATATTCAAAAACATGAATAAATAATGTCACATAATAAGACAAATAACTGAAACATGAAAACCGTGTAACATTTTGAAAAACAAGGAAATGCAAAGTCAACCAATAAGAGCTTTACCAAGCCAACTGGCAAAAACCTTTTTTTTTAAATGCCTGATTCCCCAACTTGATAAATATTATCAAAAGGTGTGCTCCATACACTGCCAGTTGTAACTTTGGATTCATTCAGCTTTCTGGAAGGGCATTTCGCAGCATGCATGAAGAAAGTTTAAAATGTGAAAACTCTGGCCTGCCAACTCCATTTCTATTACTTCTAACTCTGCCTTAGTCTTGTAAAGACCTGATGGGCCAACGATAACAAAACTAAAAAGGAAAAGGAAGAAGAAGGGCAGGACAGAGTAGACCCGGGGACACGCCCACAGGCTCTGTCCCAGCCTCCACAGTCCTGCCAGCAGGGGGATGACACACCAGCTCCAGGCCCTCTAACCACCTGAATGGAAAGAGAAACACCGAGCTGTCTTGAGCGACACTTCTCAGTGTCCCAATAATAAAAACAAGCCGACTGTAATCCTATTTCTAGAAATTTACCCCAAGGAAATAATTTAAGGGGGGGTGGGGGGGCAAAGGCCTAGAACACACATGAAGACTTTCATTCTATCCCTATCACAGGTTATTTCTGATGGCAAATAATGGAAAACAACCTATTTGTTCAATGACAGGACAACAGCTAAACATGGAGTATTGCCAGATGATAGAATGTTATTCAGAATCATAAATGCTCATAATATACTTGTTAACATGAAAAACACAGTCTATATGTGATGAATTCCAATTAAAATATATACATACATATGCATGTGTGTGTATGTTGTCAAGATAAGAAGAAATACATCACTCTTTTTATCTTCTATCTGCATGTGGGATCTAGGACACTTGAAAAATGAACCAAATGTATGTAGCCATGAGTTCTGTTAACTACAGGTTCAACTAGACAGGGCCAAGGTAGAGAACTGCCTAATCACATGAACTCTTCATGGGACACAGGTAGACAGAAAGAGCTGAGGGATCCGAATACATGAAATATGTGAAAAGAGAGTCTTCCCACAACTTCATATTCTCATTTTATTTAACTTTCCTTAAACTAAATCCACCCCTCACCCACAAAGACTGACAGTACTTATTTATTCTACAATTGCCATAGGAGACCGGCATGCCTTTGAAGAAGATCTACTCACCATTCCTGGTCTCCTTGGCCATGAATAATAGCATCAGACATTGTGGAAACTAGAAAACCTCAAGCCATGCCCAGGACGAGGTTGTTAATCAAACCTGCAACTTATTACATGCTTTCTCTCATAGGAGAGAAATGGAGAAATAAAGTGATACTCCTGAGAAAAATGGATTACGTGCCAGCTCCTGGGGCAATTTCCCTGCATATAAGCATTTTGCTTTGCCAAGCTGAATCTACCTCTCCTGAGACTGCAAATATGAGGAGGTTTGCCTACTGCAATGACTTCCCTGTGGCTGTGGAATTCCTTATCCCTCTCCTGAAGGATAAAAGACACCTCCTGGCCCCAGAGGATGGGGGAGGACTCTGAGTACAAGCCAGGTGAGTGCTTCTGTGTTACCTGGAGGAAGTTCTGGCTGGAGATGATGAGAGCCAGCTGGGCACTGAGGTCTTCTGCTTGGGCTTGGCTCCCTCTCACCCCCTGGACCAGCTGAGGGATGTGATCGGCCACCGCCTATGGGAAGCAGGAAAATGAAAACTGAGCTACCTAAGCATGGGGAATTCCAAAACAGGGCAGACAATGACCCAAGCGATAAATGTTTGATGGATGTGCTGTCACTCCTGGGAGATGCCTGTCCCAGACCTCGGGTTTACACAGCACCTTTAGCCACCTGGGTCCTTACCAACACTGAATCCTAACACAGAAGCTCTGGGTACCCTTCCCCCACACATGCTCTTTCTACCTGAGGTCCCAAAGGTCCCCAAATGTTCAGCACAAGACGATTCTACATAAGGAGGCCTGAAAGGAATGCTCCAGTTCCAATGAGCACTCTCCTGGCTCACTAGGGTTGGAAACTTCAGAGAATCTATACAATTCACTGGTGGGTAAACTCAGATCATAAGGTCCCAGTGAGAGAAGCGCTGAATTATCAGCATATTTCAGTGCTTCTTTTTTTTCTTCTTTTTTGTGTGTGTACACATTTAGTTTTATTGTAACAAAGCAGCTCATACACTTTTAGCTTTTAAAACTGAGCATCATCTTTCCTTTCCAGTGAAACAAAAAGAACATTTAGCCGAAACTGGTTTGGCTCAGCGGTAGAGCGTCGGTCTGCAGACTGAAAGGTCCCAGGTTCGATTCCAGTCAAGGGCATGTACGTTGGTTGCAGGCACATCCCCAGTAGGGGGTGCGCAAGAGGCAGCTGGTCGATGTTTCTCTCTCATCGACGTTTCTAGCTCTCTCTCTCTCTCCCTTTCTCTCTGTAAAAAATCAATAAAATATATTAAAAAAAGAAACAAAAAGAACATTTAAAAATAAACAGGAACAAAATTACAATAGAGAAATGTCAATTCCGAATAAGATCCTACAGGTTCTGCTGATTCTCCCATTGAGTGGCAGGGCTCAAGTCATCACTAGGAGAGAATTTTATTTTAAAAGTGTCATCTTAGACTGCAAGTATGTCTGTTAAACATCACAATTAAACATGCCAAAGGAGAAGCCATGTCGTCAAAATACCCACTTAACCCACCTTCTATAACCCCAAACCCTCTTTTTAAAGTTTTTCTTTTCTTTTTTTAAACAAGAGAAAGTAGACAGATACATGTTGGTAACTGTCCATATTCACATAGAGACACAGTGTAATCTCTGAGCCCAATATACAGAGAAAGGAGGGGGAAAGCTAGAATTCTATGCACTACTACACAGGGGCCTAGCAACCTCCAGCTCCCAGCAGAGCTAAGGGAGCAGAAGGTTTTTATTTTTTTCCCACAGAGCATGGTGGTGGTGATTCCATAAAGTTTTTCTTGAGACAGGAAGGGGTAAAAATGAATTTGGAACAGAAAGGGGCAATGAATTTCCCCACTGTATTCTGCTCAAAGTACACCCCCCCCCCCCCAATAAATAAATAAATAAATAAATAAGGTGAGAACCATGGTGTAAAGGAGAGAAAAGAGACCTCAAAAACAGGCCTTCTGCTTGGGCTTGGCTCCCTCTCACCCCCTGGACCAACTGAGGGATGTTATCTTCTGCTTGGGCTTGGGGTGGGGGTGGGGGGAGAGAAAGGAAGGAAGGAAGGAATGAAGGGAGGGAGGGAGGGAGGGAGGGAGGGAGGGAGGGAGGGAGGGAGGGAGGGAGAAAGGAAGGAAGGAAGGGAGAGAGGGAGGGAGGGAGGGAGGGAGGGAGGGAGGGAGGAAGGAAGGAAGGAAGGAAGGAAGGAAGGAAGAAGGAAGGAAGGAAGGAAGGAAGGGAGGGAGGGAGGGAGGAGGAGGAAGGAAGGAAGGAAGAAGGAAGGGAAAGAAAGAAAGAAAAAGAAAGAAAGAAAGAAAAAGAAAGAAAGAAAGAAAGAAAGAAAGAAAGAAAGAAAGAGAGAAAGAAAGAAAGAAAAAAGACTGCAACTTGCTCCCAGGGACTGGAGAAAATTCAACAAGGTTGGTATCCATCTGTGTTCGTTAGTCATCCTCTTCCTCTTCTTCCTCTTCATTATCATCTTCATCTTCACTTTCATCCTCAACCACTTCTTCATCAATATCTTCCAACCCCTCCTCTTCTTCATCATCGTCATCTTCCTCTCCTTCCCCTTCTTCATCAACCATGTCAAGAACCAAGTGGTACTGTAATGGAGTTGGCCAAATGCCATCTTGGATGACTGTCATCCGCACCTGCATAGAATGGTCAGTAAACCAGGTAAAGACGCTCTCTGGTTCCTCCTGCTGTCTCTTCCTGCTGGCTTTGTTCTGTGTGTGTGACTTGAACGTTTGGTCAAATCCTTTCCAGATTTCCGTTTGACTTCAGTGGACTTTGAAGATGGACCAACACTCTCAGATGAAACTCTTTGGAGAGATCTTTATTTTCATCAAAATAAAAATCTATTCTGTAACCTGATTTACTATCTTCCAATTCTGTCACTTCAACTCTTGTCAAATAAGGCAGCGCCTCTTCATCCTCTTCCCCAAGTGGTGCAGACACTTGTGGATGGTTGACAAATGTCGTTACCCCAAAATTTGGGATTTTGGTGAGCAATTCTAACCTCTTCTGAAAAAATGGTTGGCAGGGTTTGTTATATTTCTGTTCTTACTTTCAAAGTCTCCTCACTGGCTTGTTAATTAAGTCTGTCTATTTCATTTTCTACTTCATTAATATGTTCAATAGCTTCCTGCTATTCTTTTTCTCCCTTTGGCAAGTCCTGAGGGGTCGGCCTCTTCTCTGACTTGGGGCTGGAGGCAGTTTCGGTTTCTTCATATGAGGTGGAAGCAAGGATTGGCAATTGGGGCTCAGTGCTTCTATTTCTTACTAACGATCAGCTTTCCTGTTGCCAAGGCTCCTCTTCCCCTGGTCTAAGTAGCTCTCTCATTCCTCAAACTGCAAAACCCAACGCCCAGGGCAGAGGAGGGAGGAGCAGCAGCCCTGGGGTGAGACCATCTCCCACAGTGACGTGCCTTTTACCCTGGTCCCCACATTTCCCCTCTGCCCACGCCCTTCTGACAACAGGCCCTGAGGTCACGGCACAGCGGCTCACTGCTGGGGAAGGGCCCAAGTGCACCCCACTTGGGTGACACGCCTTCCTTCAGGTGCCTGCTCAGGATTAAAAAATGTCCCCATGAGACTTTCCTCGGGGCCTCTCCAGGACCGCTGGCACACCATCTGGTCCACTCTCCCCTCCCCCCGATAAACAGCAATGCTCTCATTTCCTGAGGGTGACACCCACAGGCCGAGGACATTCAGTCTCTTCCCAAAAGGTGGAGAAGGGGGCTCACCTTGGAGTATTTCCCTGGACACAAGTAGCACGCGCTCCCTGAGAAGGGGCGGTGCCATTTCCCACCCCTGCTGGCTGCTGAATCGAGGCCATAACAGCAAACAACTCCCCTCCTGCAGGAGCCCGGCTCTCAGAAAACCCTGGCTTTGGGTACATGGTCTGGCAGATGGGCTACTGCACCCTGAGGTTTTTCTGCGAGAACATACAGATCCTCGATGGGCCTGACCTCAGAGAACGTAAGCTGCGAGGGCTCAGGGCCTGCCCTGGGTTCCCTTGGGAAGGAAAGCCATTTCTGAGGTAGAAGTGGCAGCATCCCTTACAGGGGATGGTTTCACAGAGGAGATGGGGAGAAAGGAGGGAGGGCAGTTAGCTCTTGGTCCCCAAGCTCCATCACTAGGCCTCCACCAGCCCACTGCTAACCGGAAGTTCCCCGCTTCAGACACATTGTTTGCACGTGGGCGAGGGCTACGAAATCAGATTTTGTGTCTGGCACCGTTCAGGGGTCTCCTGGGAGAGTCAGTGCCCTGGGCCCTCAGAGAAGGCAACAGGGGTGTCACTGTGCCCTCTCTGGTACAGCGGCTTCCATGCGCCATCAAGGCCCAGGCGTCAGAAGAACTGACAGACAGCAGCAGAAAGCACCAGAGCGCCCATCACAGAGGCCAGATGGGATGACTAAACCCTGGAGGTGCCATCTGTGCAAAACAGGATACCAACTTCTAGGATGAGTGAGGCTCATGGGAAGGCCCACCCCTCCAAGGGGAAAAGGCACTCTGGAAATTCGTTACTATTTCAGGGTCCGAAAGTGGCCTCACCGTTGATCCTCCTTAATTCGGGCTCTCAGAAAGAAAGAAGAGAATCCAGACAAAGGAAAGGCAATGCTGGCAAAAAACATCCTCTCCCCTCACACAGGCCATCCACTTAGACAAAAACCAGACACGTGTGTGTGTGTGTGTGTGTGTGTGTGTGTGTGTGTGAACACCTGGAACAGGGGAGCCGGAACAAACTGGATTAGGGGCCTGGGTGATCAGACTTAACTACATTGCCAGGGCACTCGGTGTTCCAATGCCGTCAGCGTTTTCTCCAGCAGACCTGGCTCCCCGACAGCAGAAACCTCACCTTGCAGCTCTGCACCAGCTGCTGCTGGGCCGCAGGGTTCTTGTTGGACACAGCTGCGTTCTGGGAGGCAGCGATGGTCTGCGTGGCCGCGGCCGCAGCCTGCTTTGCTGCAACCTGCGGAGGAGCGGGAGAGGAGGTGAGCCAGGGTTTGAATGTGCCAGCCCACACCCATGCACATATATGTATGTATGTCCCGTCCCTGGACAGCTGCCCGTGTATGAAAGGGAACTCCAGGAAGGGACTCCCCGTTTCAAATACATGGATGACCCTGACCTAACGGTGTTGCTATCTGCTTTTGGTTTACGTTCCCTGGGACAAGGAATCAAGGCAAGCACACTTGAGAGCTCAGGCTGCACTGTTCACCTGTCTTTCTCAGAAACACAAGGGACAGTTCCAAGCCCATGATGACAAAGATAAGCAGCACCAAGTCTACAAGCTTTTGGGGGGGAGAAGGGGTGCGGGGCGGGAAATTCCTCCTCCAACAGCACAAGCTGCTCCCCGGGCCAAGCACAAACCTGGTGCTCGTGGCTGTCCTCTCGTGGCCACGGGAAGCCTTGGTCCAGCAGACCCAGACCTTCCCGGCGAGCACTTGCCTGTGTTCACGCTCTCCCTTCCTTCCAGGGACAAGCAGGCCAGTTTCCTCCGGGAACCCAGCAGACTACATACGGGGGATTACACTCTGGGAAGGCAGGTCCTTCGCCTCCAACCTCCCAAATCTTAATGCAAGAATCTCCCTTATACATTTGTGAGAGAGATTTATTTCCTAGCAAAGTTTTTGCCCATTACTATTTTATTTCTTTTAGAATAAATAAACGTTCTGGGGGGGAAATGACATAACTATTTATTATTCCTTCCCATACCTTTCTAACCAAGCCTGATCCCTATCTCTGGTCTTCCAAACCCCACATTTCCTACTGGGGGCCCTGAAGAAAAAAAACCATCGACTCTAACGAAGTAGATACATGTAGAGCGAATGATTCTTCCTGAGAGTGGACGTCCCTTAACGGGGAAAACAAAATTCCTGGGCCCTCCTGAAAAAAAATGCTGGTTTTCAGAAACCACGAAGCTACTTTTCAGATGTCTCAATGTGCCTAAACCACTGAATGTCAATGTATAATGTACCTAAACCAGCATTTCAAATAGTTCCCAGTACCTAAACCACTAAACTATGTCATTAATCACTAATTTTGATTTAGCTTCCTGTCCATGGGCTTTGCCTTATTAATCTGATTATCCTTTCAAATACCTCTTTGTCATGTAAAACAAACATCAGCTTCTATACAGACCTCCAATCGGTTGACAATTTTTTTCTTTATGGCGTTCTGGGCGGCGGCGTTGGTTGCCACCCGGAGACCTTCTGCAGCCTCTCTCAGCCTCTGCTGCTGGTCCTCATTCTCAGGGTTGGCTGCAGCCCCCTGGGGAAGTGAAAATAAAGATGTCATGCTGCAGACACGGAATTTATGCCTTCCATTTTGCTCTTTCCTAGTAATGAGAGCCAAATGCTTCAAGCAATGGCTTTGAGATAAAGACGTTTCCTCTCAACAACCACCAAAGGACCTCCAAGGGATGTTTCTAAACTGCGTTGCTAAACAGACAAAGAACCATGTCTAGAGATGGCATTCCTAGAGAACCAGAGCTGGAAAGTATAACA